AGCCTAACTACACGGTCACCCCAACATCCGCTGCAGACGAAGGCACTTGGCAACACGAACACCTGCGTGTGTGACCACAGAGCGATGCCCAGCGTGGGTGCCACACGTGCGGGCAGCGGTGTGTGCCACGGCTCCAGCGTGAGCCACAGCCCCAGCGAGGCTCTCCCCACCCTGACACGCCGGCCAGGATTTCACAGCTGTACAGCAGCAGAGATGGACAAGGATGCCAGCGGGCACCTCCCTGGCAGCCGGGGCAGGAGCGCGGCCCGCGCTGCCCAGGGGCCGGGGCTGCGCCCTCAGGCAGCCCAGCCGCCACCGCGGGCACGCGCCCAACCCGGGGGAAGCGGGAATGCGAGGGGAAGCAGGGAGGGATCCCAGCCTGCCAGCACGGCTTCGGGAGGCAGGAGGAACGCGTCCAGCCCGAGACAGAGCAGTCTGGAAGAAAAGAGAGAAAGAGCAGACAGGCACGAGGCGAGACTCGGCTCCCGACCCTTGTACCCGCAGGGCGCTCGTCCCGCGGGGCCGGGGGTGCCGAGCCGCCCCAGCGCGGCGGCCGCTGGAGCCCTGCCCGCCCCAGAGACCCCCGCCCCGGCCCGCCGGGAGCCGCTATTTATAGCGGCAGGAAGCGGCGCGGCGCGGCTCTGGGGCGCCGCTCCCCCGCCGCCCGCGCCGCCGCACATGCCCCGGCCCCGCAGAGCGCGGCCCGGCCGGCGGAGCGGGCTCCCCGTGGGATGCCGGTGATGGCCATGCCCAGTCTTTCTGTGCCCGGTGCCCCGTGGGAGTTCAGTCAGAGTTACAGAGAGCCCCTTACAGGGAGATGGGCTCGGGCCCCCAGTGCCAACGGCCTGCACTGTGACTTGGGTGGTTCTGCCGAGGACACGTCCCGTTCGAAGCCCCCCCGGTTCCCCTCACGGCAGGGGCCCTGCGCTCTCCGTGCCGCCCGCTCTGCCCGGCCCCCGGCGCAGCCCCGCTCCTCCCGGCCCTGCTCCCGGGGCTCCCTTTGCCCACAGAGCTCGCAACACGCTTTGTTCCCCCGACCTGCCTCCACGGCCTCGATGGCAGCCAGCGGGGAAAGCGTAGTGGCACCTGGGGAATAGCAAGGCACCAGGCTGAGACACACGGTACAGTAGAACCGTAATTAAACAGTGGGAAAGAGATGCTTGCTTTTTCTCTGTTAAGGTTTGCAGTATACTGAAATGTGGGAAGGTCAATTACCCATCTCTGCAGGATGCCCCAGAAGGTATTTGTGTTTCATACCTCAATTAACTCATGCAGAGATTGCTTTGCCAGGCAAGCAACAGATTCTGTTCTCTTTTCCCCCTCAGCTTGACTAAGTTTTCTAGAAACAAAATTTCTGTTAATGTTTTTATGTCAAACACTGAGGTTTTGGATGGAAAGATGCCCAATATATGTAATGGAGTAGCTTGTGCAGATAGGAGCAAGGTTTGAAGTGCAGGAACTGTGTCCTGAGTGTCTATTTGAGCCAACATTGATCTCACATGCTTTTGTCTCTGTAGGATTTCACATTTTGGAGGTGTTCAGATGGTTTCTGTTTACTCCATGCTTTGACATGGTCCAGCCCAGCAGCTATATAACACTGTTATCTAAAATAAAAATGTTAGGGACAGGTGTCCTGGAGAACTGAAATATGCTCTTGATTCACTTGTAGCAACATGTCCTAGCAAGGTCAAAGACTGAGTAACCTGTGTGCTAAATTAACCTGCTGCAAGTTACTTTCATGTTTTCCTCAGGAGATGAGCTGTTGCCTGAAGGCACAGCATTATGGTGAGACGTGCTGTCATAAGAGCAATGGCATTACTGTGCTGTCTTCAGTGGAAGGCTGGAAACATTGCCAGGCTTTTATGTAGGTCATGTCTCTGTTTCTGTGTCATTGTATGCTTGGAGCATTACAAGAAAACACAAAAACTGGTACAATTTTTTATGTGTACCCTTTTTTGACCTGTACACACAATGTAGATTAGCTTGCAAGCAAAAATTTCAGTGCTCACAAATAGTAAAACTGCAGGTACTCTGTGTTTACTGTCTTTACAGTCCCAAAGCTCTCTCAAGAGGGATACAAATCCACATGAGGTTCCCCAGCACAGCAAACTGCATTTGGGTCATTGGTTAGCTGAGAAGTCACATAGAGGCAAACAGCTTCATCTTGTCTACATGCTGGGGAAATACCATGTAATGTGTTTAATCCAGGCTCCATATGGGATAAATAGATAGGATGACACAGATCTGCTCAGCTTTTAGAAGTTGGGAAGACGTGCTGCAATAGGAGACTTGTGCTGGAATGACAGGAAAGGGTGACAACCTTTGCTAGGAAAGAATTGTCCCTTTATGGGGAATCCACTGAGTGATCCATCATCACTGTGATGCAGTAGCCTACAAACTCCCTTGGACTTCTGCCTGCTGGTCAGGCTGGCCTGTTGCATGGTAACAAGAGAAATGGTCCTGTCCTTTCTGCAGATAACCCACCTGCAGCCAGCAGCACTCAGCATGGCTCTCACAGTGGGCATAGAAGTGCTTGCCTACAGGTTGGCTCTTTCCCATAGCTGTGCCAGTCTCTTAGACTTTATTGGGGGCTGAAGCATGATCATTTTAGAGAATCTTTTGCAAAGCAGTGCATGATTGCCCTTTCTCTACTTGGGATTTGAATTTCAGAAAGAGAGGAGTGCTCTAGAGCTTTGTTAGAAGTCAGTATCTGTGCAACCTTCAGAAGCATGGGAGACTTTGTATCAGATTCACAAGTTTTAAGAAGTGAAAGAGAGAGGTAATTTACAGCTATCAGCATGCCCAGGGGCCTGGAAACAATTTATCTATCACTAGTAAACATATGAAAATGTGAGGTCTCCTGACTGGAGCCAAGGACAGCAACATTCTAGAAGTGTCCAAAGTCAAAAGCATTTCTGATGTGCTGAACTATCAGTGACTTCAAAGGTGATATCTTGCCTGTCACCATACCAGAAAACAAACCCTTCAGGGAGGTAACGTGCCCTGTCTCCAGCAGCAGCACAGTGTTTATGCACTTATGTGGGTCCTGTGTTACACGTTCTCTGTTGCCCTGTGTCCCTGCCCGCTGTGGCTTGCCTCAGCTGTGCAAACAGGAACTGCTGAGTCAGCAGGCTGATGAAACTCACACTGCTTTCACACTTCTCTGGGGAGACTGCCACAGCAAGGAGGTTGGCAGCAACTTATATCCTGGAGAAAAAAAAAAAGAAAAAAAAAAGCGTACTAGCGTACTTAAACTGTCTTGAAATTGCCTGAAACAATAATCTGATTTTTTTAAAAACTCTCAAACTGAAGGAGGCTGTGGGACCCAAGCACTGGTGGCAGATGAATGATCACACCTGGCATACACAAGCTCATAGCAAAGTGCTTGGAGTTCAGCAAGTGTCATTTTTCTGCTCTCTCTCTTGACCAGCTCAACCACATTTTACAAAGCCAAGATCCAACTGGCTGAAGAGACAGAATAAGGACATGGAGTTCAGCTCAGCTGTCTGGTAAGGATGGAGAGCAGCAGCCTGTTCTGATTACAGACTCATGCAGAGGTGAAACTGCTCCCTTGGAGCCGGTACAAGATAAGGGACTGTGAAAATTCAAATAACCCTCTCAGAAGAGTCAGGTCTCCTGAAGAGCACAAGTGCCAAAGAGGAAAGAGATTTGGGAGCGACTGCATCTCTGAGAGCAACATATCCATGGCACAGCAGAGAGTAGCTAAGGTCAGCTAAACGGATGGGAAGGGGAAAGTTAACTGCCAAATGATTTGAAAACTGGAAAGAGAATCAAACTGAAAAAGATGGAGACATTCCAGGAAGCTGTTCTACTAAGGACATAAATATGATGTTATCGACAAGCTCAAAGTGAACAAAAGCAGTTTTAGTAGCAAGAAGGTGGCAGTTAACTGCTGCAGGTACTATCAATATAAAAGCAACACCTTCCCACCCAGATGCCCCTGGTCTGCCTTCATTTAAAGGAGGTCTGCTTACTTCAGCACCATGATGTTTGCATGTCATTATTTTTTATACTTATTAGAGAAATTTAACAATAAGTATGTGATTCCTGTTTCTTGCTTTGCTTATCATGAGATTTGTTAGTTGAAGCTCCAGGCTGAAATATTCCTGTTCAAGGCAATGAGGCAGCAGAGATGCATGTGTGGGTTGCAAAGTATTATCTAGGGTCATCTCCCTGGGGCTGCTGATTCAACCCGTGTAGGAGAGAGGAGAGTTTAGTGTTAAGGTTGCAAGAGGGGGGGACTGCAGAGCTGTAAATGAGAAATCATTATACTATACATACTTACATGTGTACAGTGGATTTTCTGTGGCTGTGGCAGAACATTTACAACCTCCAAAGCTACTATTTTAGCAGGGGCTGACATTGAAAGGACAGTAGCAGTTAAGAAGAGGTAGTCTGCAGGTAGGTGAGAGCATTCTGCTAGTGGATGAATAGTGGTAACAGGGGATCTTAGTGGTATGCAAGAAAAATGTATCATAAAGGTGATCGAGGAAGAGAAAATAGAGGCTGGTACAGTCCAAGTATTCAAAGCAAAGCAAAGTAAAAAAAAAAAACAAAACAAACAAAAAAACCCCAAAAAACCCAGAAAAACATGCACTTATTTGATGCTTGGAGAACTCTGTTTGGAGAGTCAGAGTACAATGCCCGGAATCTGCAACTAAAGAAGGGAAGTTGTTAGCATTTATTTTTGCCTCCTGTCGCATCTTTTGAGACACAACTAGTTCATCAAGAGTCAAAGTGACAGAAAGGCAGAAGATTTGCTGTGCCTATAAAACAGGTCAAACCATCATAAATGAAAATTTTTGAATAAATAGTTTCAAACCTTTTTCTGAGGAAGTGGAAGGAAAGCACTGGTACCTAGCTGAGTATAAGGAGAGCTGGAGAAGCAGGCAGGCACACATTGACTCTGGCACACAGATGAGGGAATTTGGAGGCCAAGACTCAGATCTGCCTTGGGGAAGCTGAACAAAGATACTGTGGACGCTCACCAGTGATGTTTATTTTTAATGCTAAGATTCAACCACATGCTGCTCTAAGAGGATTGTTCTGGCAATTTCAGTGCCAATCAGAGGTTCTCAAATTAAGTTCCAGGCCCCGTTAGGCTGCAGCTTAACTCATCGTGAGCCGGGAGCTGCTGACTCCCCCCAGGGGCTGGGAGCTCCCACCGGAGATAAATCCACCTGCAGTGAACACTCCCTCTGTCAGCAGAGGTGGTGCCAAGCGATACATCTCTGGCCTTCGCTTGCAGGGTTAATGATCATCCAGGGAGGCAAAGATTACCATCCTTTAAACCGTAAGAGCAGAGCAGTGCTACAAGTGATCTATTACTTCAGACAAACTGTTTGCTTAGCACTGCAGCTCACCAAAACATTGTCCAGCAAACACTACGCAATGCTGGGAGTGTTGCTCAAGTGCCTCATTTTCCCTCTAGTGCTTCAAATGCCTGTCCTCTACAGGCATGACATGTTTTAGCATAATACGAATTATTTTACTAAACTCACAGTAAATTGTTTACAGCTGTTAGCAAAGCAGTCCTCTTGGCTTGGACAAGCAGCTGGAAAAGATGACTAACTTGTCGCAGTTGCCCCACCTATCCTTATTTATTTTTGAGAAGAGGCAGCGCTGCTGGTATTGCCACACGGCATTATTTGCACGCAGAGAGGCTTCTCGCTTACGTCCAACGTGGAGTAAACAAAGTCCGGCGGAGTCGGGCAGAGGCAGCAGTGCTTTGCTTTAGCCACCAGAGCGAGCTGCTGCTCCACCTTTGAGCAGAGCCGGGGCAGCTCCCGGAGCTGCTCCAGGAGGAGCGCTCCGCCAGCGGGTCCCGGAGCGCGGCTGCGGCCCGCACCGTGCGGCAAGGAGCGCCAGCCCGGGCTGGCTCCAGGGCTCAGGGCAAGGGACAGTTTTCCCAGACAGAGAGGACTGTGTTTAAATAAACACCCTCAAGTCGAAGGTGCCCCAGCATTAGTCATCGCTCCAAATGCGGAGTGGAAACCAACCTTCCAAGAGCAGAGTAGGCTGAATATGGAGATTATTCTAGAAACAGGTTGGATCCTTTCCAAGTAAGTCTCTCCACTTTGCTGCAGCAAGAGCTTCTACAGGTAGAGTCATGCATGACAGTCAGTTCAGATTTGTGCATCAAGTGCTTAAGTATGGAGTTTGAGATATTTCTGACGGTTATATCTAGTATTATCAGCGAGTGACCCTGCAAATATAAAAGCTACAGAGCAGATATTAAAACCAGCTTGAATGCCAAAGTTGGATACAGATTTACAGCTCAGCTAAAGCTTATTACACTGCTGTTGACTTCACTGGAATAGTATCTGTTGCTTACAAAGTCAGACAATCTTATTAATACATTAACATGTTTAATAAAGGATAAGACGGATCAAAACCTGGCCGACAGCAGTTCAATTTTACCACTAATGCAAGTGTTTCTTTTTGGCAATTATATGCTACTGAGCAGCAGCTCGGTATGGGGCCTTACGTTTTACTATCCCTGCTCTTTCCCAGTGGTTCCTGATTCCTGTCAGTGAACCTTTGAGAGGCTGGCCAGATTCTGATGGTTGTGGTGCTTTCAGATGTTCAGGGTAGCAAATAGTTTCCAGCTGACGTTCATCCTTGCTGATTTAATTCAATAAGGCGACCAGCAAATACAGCTAATGTTCCTATAAAACAAACTAGCATAAATATGCCAAGGAGGAGATGATCAAGCACCATTGCAACAAACTTCCATTCTTCTGCAGCCTGGGAAAGAAACAAAGGAGATGGTAAAATCTCTGCAGAGCCCTGTTTGTTACAGCATTCTTGTAATTTACTGTCTTGAACAAGGGGAAGGCTCTTCCCTAAGTGCCATTATTGCTATACAAAAATGCTCATTTTCTTCTCAAAAGAAGGTCAGTGGTTAAAAAAGCCTCAGGAACCTAGAAATACAAGTTTCAGTTGTATTTCAACACCAAACTAACCAGAAACCCTGGCAAACTAACCAGAAACCCTGGCAATTTGCTGGACAATTTAATTTTTAAAAGATGTTGAAAAGCTTAATTGTTAGGCCAATTCTTGCTTCTGAAAGAGAGTTTAAAATCTTGAAAGCAAAATGTTTATTTTGACCTAAATGACTTTTGTTTTTCCTTTGCTTTTTTGTTCTCATGGGGTATCTAGGCAATTCCTATGAATTTAACTCTAATCCCTGCTTTCCATACACTCCACTGTCTTGTAAAACCTTCTTGGTAGCTCTATTAGTCTTTTTTTCCAGTTGTGGGACACCATGAACCACTTGCCCTGTACCTTTTCACTGGATGCTTTTGGTGGGAACCCAGCACAGTAGGAGCATGCAGAGTGCAAGGCACCAAGTGCAGCAGATGATTTCCACTCTGGAACGCCACCTTAAGGAGTGACATGTGCTAGCCTAAAGCACCTTCTGCTTGTGCCTTGGTTCTCCCACAGGTAGAAGAGGTTGTTGTGATTTATCTAAGGACACTGACAATGACTACTGTTTTGAGGTGGTTCAGAAGAAAATGCAATGAAGTGATAGCCTTCAGAAGCTGCAACCTGTAGTTTATTTAGGGAATATGACTTTTGAAACCCCCTGGAAGTGATATCTCACTAGTGCCCAGATGACACAAACAGCTGGGCTCCACTTCCGAAGGGGGCATTTGCTGGTAACCTGAAGACCCCCTTGTAAGCCAAGGAGGAAGTGAAGCCCAGAGATGTTGAAGCCACGCCAGCCCTGCTGAAGACAACAATTTGTCTGCAGAGAGGCAAAGGAGTCACGGGGAACATGAGACTACAGCCAGAGCCATTTCACATGCTCCAGGAATTTGGTCACAGGAACAAACACTGTGGTGTAAATCCTGTCAGTGGCAAGGAAGCACCTCCTTTTCAAGAGAGTGGGTCAAATTTTTTTTTTCAGAGAGCTCCCCTGTCTTCAGACTAGCCTGCAGCTCAACAGGAGAAGTCTATGACCACCTAGGAAGGTGAAATATTGGGACTGAATTACCTCTGCTAAAGCTGTGTGACCTGTGAAAGCTGAAATAAAAGAGGGGTTAATTGTACTGAATGTGCTAGAAGGAGGCAGAGCTAGGTTTTCCTAGGGAACGCTGCCATGTGTGACTCTATATGCTTTTATCCTTCCTTTGGCTTGCAACGTGGAAAAAGTCAGTAATCAGAATAGCTCATAACATACTTCATTTGGAGGGACTACTTGTATTCAGGAATAAAACAAAACCTTATCAAAATTGGAAATATAATTTGTAAGTTACATTTAACACTTCTGAGATAACACTACTAGTCTTTTGGAGTTTGCCTTGCTTCCTGGGTTTTCAAAAGCAGTAGGATCTTATTACAGGGGCAAGATGTCTGAGTGAGAGACAGAAGAAATGTGTTTTGGAACTTGCTTACAGTTCTTGAAACTCGTTTCCTACTCACAGACACTCCATCTCCATGGCTTCACATATCACACCAGAAAACCTTAACACTGACACTTTTTCCTTTTCTGTTATTCTGGGAATCCAATATTCAATTAACACCTGTGACAATTATTTATTGCTCCTTGTTGACTCCATTAAGGGGAGAAGACTGTCCACTGCTGGAGCAAAACCAGGGCTTGGAGTGTTTTTGTAAGACAGGGATATTTTGCCAAAAAAGTAAGATGAAGCAAATTGAAAGCTAGAAATGAAAAATACACCCAAAAAAATGCCTTACATTACTGGCTTCTTGGTCCGATTTCATCGTTTCTGCAATGTATTTGATTCCTTCTATAGCGTTTTTCACATCTGGATTTTTGGTAAGTGGGGAGTAGAAGTTCACAGGCATAGAACCTGACTTCCCAGAAATGTCAGAAATGTCAATATCTTCTGCAAAAATATTTTTGTCTTGTTTGTCTCTTGATGGTCGTTTCATTGTAGAGAAAAACATGACGTTTGGGATTGTGTCAATAAAGATCTGAAAACAAAGGCAGAAGATGACAGTCGCTGGTGTGTGGGGCTGTGTTACAGCTGCAGCTGTGCTGAACAAAGACAACCTCTCCCCTCCCAGATCACTCCCCGTGCTGGGTCTGCTGCAGATTCCCTCTCTGTGTCACAGCCCACGCCTTATTACACCGGGGCTTTTGTCAGCCTCGTGTCCCGGGGCAGAGGGAGTCCCGGCAGGCCTGCAGCACGTTTTCTGACAGCCATCCCCCCTGCCCTACACCCAACATCCACACGTGGAGCAGGGGGTGATGCCACGGAGCAGATCCTCAGCTAGCACAGGCTGACAGAGCTTGATCCATCCCATCTAACTTGAAACATATTGCCTACAGATCTGACTTGAAGAATGGGCTACAAAGAAACTTTTGGCTACTTAGGTTTGATTTCGCTATTACGAATGTTTGCTATACAGGCATATAAGGTTTACAGTAAATTCCACGGGAGTGAAAGAGACTTACTGCCAGAGCAATGTTAAGCACATGCAGCATTTCCTGTTGAAATTTCCCTTCTGCAGGGGTTGTTTGTGCTGCAGAGGGAATCTGATATAAGCTGTAACCTTAAAAGCATTATTAGAAATACACAGAAAAACCTCCTTTCGTGTCATGGTTTAGTACAAACCCAGGCAGCCTTCAAAACGGCAAGGATTACTGAATAAATCAGATGATCTTTGGTACTGTCTCCCTGGCAAAGAACTTGTAATGACAGACAACCAATTTTTTCTATGTCTTATGATTAACATTTAGACTTCTGTGCAAGGATCTCCCAAGGGCTGCAGAGCAACTGTGTACTGGAAAAGTACATAGAAGATTTTTTTTAGCTTTTGCTAAACCGTTTTTTGCAAAACGGGATGCTGGTATTCCCAGTGGCCTTTGTGCTCTGCACTCATGCAGGCTGGTGGCTGGTCACTGGCAGGCAGCAGTGCCTTGCAGTCAGTGGAGAATTAGACCAGGATATGTAATTCGAGTCCAGATGGACATTTTCTTTTCCCATTCCTTACCTTTAGCTGTCCACATTTTGTCTCATCTGTTCCCTGGAAAACTCTACCCCAGTGGACAATTTTGTTACTTAAAGGAGCACTTCAGCAATCTTGCTGACTTTACGCACAGCTAAGTAGTAAACACTGGCTCTTGGGCTCTTTAACATGATGCATCTACCTCCCCAATTCTTTTTGACTTTTATTAGGAGACCTGCCAATAAAATACGGAGCATTTGGTGGAAAACAGCAAGCGTGCCGAGACACAGAGCTCACCTTCCTGACCCAGGGGGGCATGGTGTGCGTGCTGGGGGAGCGGTGGTGGGTGTTGATGACGATGACGGTGATGATGATCGAAGCGATGACGAACACCATGGTGAACAGCATGTACTTGCCAATCAGAGGCACTGCGCTGGAGGTGGAGGGAATCAGCTCCACGATGACCAGCAGGAACACAGTCAAAGACAGCAGGACGGAGATGCTCAGGGTCATTTTCTCACCTGTCATAAAAAAGCCCCCCAAAATCATTGCTGCTCCCATCATTCAGTACAGAGAGCATTTACTCGAGAAGCAGGGTGGGGGTGAGAGCTGTTCACACAAACACCTGTGTGCATTTGCTGTGCTATCATCTCTGCCAGCATCCAAAGCAGCAAGTAGGCTGGGCAAACCTGAGAGCCTAACAGCATCAGCTCCAGCAGTAAGGTGGGAATTACCAGGAATGACTGGGCTGAAGTCTGGGTGCTGAATATTTTTACTTGCTAGGAGCATTTTGTGGGCTCTGCATTTTGAACAGTGCAGTATATGCACCTTCTCAGTGCTTGCTCCACAGCTTCCTGAGGGTTTGCTTCCCTTACTCTCTGTCTCTGGGCTGAGAGAGCAGACTAAAATCACATCTGACATTGGGTCAGTTGCTATGTAAGATCTCCTCGCATGTGGAGGGTGTCAAAAATGAATTACAAAACATTATTCACACATTTTTTTTAATCCAGAAAGTTTTCCACTCAAAAAAATGCATCAAGTATTTAATAAGAAGGGGCTCACACTGCAATTAAGCAGTATGAAAATCTGACAAAAGGCGAAAAGAATGAAGCGGGGCTCACACTGCAATTAAGCAGTATGAAAATCTGACGAAAGGCAAGAGGAAATGGTTGCAGGGAGCATGAGTGGCTCAGCAGAGACAAAGAAGGCCAGAACAGGTCAGGATTGCTCTTGTGTCACACAAGGTGATGTGTGAGCAGGTAATGAGCTCTCTGCTCTGACACGATGCAGAAGGGCCTCTGTCACACCTGTGTGCTCATTTTACTGCAGGATGTACTAACACACTGACTACCTATGGGAAAACATAAAAATTATCTAGCTAAATCTTTACTTTGCAGAAGTTAACTGGATAGACAGTAAGCAATTTCTGTGGGAAAGCATCCCAATTTATTTATATCAACAGTTTCAGTTTTCAGCACTTATCCTTTCTTTGCAGAATATTTAAAGCCATTATTTTCAGTGGAAATGTCCACTGGCCCTCAAGTTGGCTGATAATTTCAAACACTGGTAATTTCTCTGGAACTTCTTAGAAGAGCAATTTCTATGGAAGCAGAATGAATAAATGTACATACCTGAATCTGTGGGTAGGTAAAAAACTAACCCAGTCAAAAAGGAGAAGAGCAGGCAGGGGATGATGACGTTCACAATGAAGTAGAGAGGCAGGCGTTGCATGAGGAAGTGGTAGGTGATGTCCAGGTAAGGGGTGTCAGGGCAGCAAGCGTAGTAAACCCAGTGCTTCCAGCCACGGTAATCCTTCATCACCCACTCCCCACTCTCCATAAAGTTACTCAGGTCTGGACGATCACTCTCCTGGCAGCAAAACATCCCAACAAATTCTTAATACCAGGTATTCTGAACCAAATCAAAACTTAGCAGGTTTGGCTCAGGAACAGGATTCCAAATAACTCATGCACTTTGTGGGGGTTTTTTGTGAGCAAACAGCTCTCATCTATGTTATTTTTCCTTAGAATATCAGCTTCTACACAGCATTCAACTGAACATTTTACAGAAACAGTCAGGGATAGTAGACTGAAAAAATACTACAGAGAGACATAGCTGAGGGGACAGGGAAGGAGTCTTAGGCAATGGAAAGTCATGAGCAGAGAAAATGTACCCCTCAAAAAAACCCTAAGCTTGAGAAAACAGAAGCAGAACAGGCAGCACCATAAAAAGTCGTGCAAAGCTGCCAGAGGACAGACAGGATACTTTTAGGGCATGGGGATAATATGTAAGCAGAATTTAGGAGCCAAACCAGAAAATCTTGTGCTAGATCTAAAAATGAGAATTTTCTATTTTGCCAGTAGGGTCTGCTTGTTTTTTCCAGTCAAAACTAGGTCATATTCCATTCTAAATCTGAGATTTCTCTTAAAAACATGTACAGGTCTTTGCTGATTTTCTCAATTACAAACTCCTTGCTTACTGGGTTAATAACAACCATTGTGCCATCGTATGTCCAAGTTCCCAACTTCATACTGCAGTTCTGCTGGTCAAATGGGAAGTGTGTGACTATAATTTCACAGTAACTCTTAAAAATAGCGGGTGGTGTCCAGGTGATACGCCCTGTGTGCTCCAGAAGGACTTTGGTGTATTTTACAATGGCAAAATCACCGTCTGCACTGCAGAAGGAAGAAGGATATTAAAAGCAATATGGGCAGCATAATCAACAGAGTCACAAAAGGATTGCTCTGGCTGAGGGTCAAATGACGCCCCAGTGCCTGCTCCTGGAGAAGCTTACCCTGAGGAATTGTACCCACTGGAACAGAGCTCATGGGAAAACTGTCCCACCAGAGCGGTGCCACAAGGCAGAGCTCCTCTCCCCTCCCTCCCTGCCTCCCTTGGCAGCTGGCACCCCTTACTTGTTGTAAAGGACAAGGTCTGGCCGCCAGATATCATCTGAGGGGATGCGGATTTTTTTTACGCCGCCGTAGTCATCTGGATTCCATCTGAGGTTGACGTCTGTCCATTGCTAAAGAGGGAAGATTTTAGCCCCTGAGAGCCTCTCCCAGCACTGGGGTTAGAGTACTTCCCAGAAAGAGCTCCTCCCTTGCTTTGGGGCATGCAGGTAAGCATAAACATATGGGAGTGGGACCCCCAGCTCATTTTCTACATTAACTTATATTTTGATTTAAGAAGCTTATTAAAAAAACCCCAAAAGCCCCAAAAGAAAATAATACAAAGATACCAGAAGCCTACTGTTTGAAATACAACCCCAAATGCTTTTCTTAAAACTCTTAGTATCTAGAGCACGTTATTCTTTAGATCTCAGTAAGAAATACTCTGCTATCTGACCCACCTCTCCATGTTGCCCCTGAAGGTAAGAGAGTGTAGTTAATTCCTGACTGTGTTGAGTGCATTTATTTGAATTAGATCAAATGGTTAAGAATATTTAAAGTTACCTGTTTCAGGCGTACATTGGTTGTCACAATCTGATTTACTTCATCCTTAAAAAGAAAGAAAGTTTTAAAAAAAAAAAATCAGTAGGATTAAAGGATAAAAATTGTTTCCTTAGAACAACACCACCATTTGGCACTATCACGTGAGCCAGAGGCTCAACACCACCCGTGTCCATACTGTACCACGCTAATGAGCTGGATGAGCTGCAGCCCCACGGTGACAACGACGGCGTCCCGATGGTCCTCCACGGGCCGCACCACCTTGTTGTAGTTACTGAACAAGTGCTCCACCAGGCGAGTCTCGTCCTCATAGCCCAGGGCCAGCCCAGCTGCAGAACAGACAGAAAGGGCAACAACAGTCAGAAGGGGCAGGGAGCAGGCTACAGCACCATCAGTCTGAGGCTGGCATGGAGGAAATGCTGCCAGGCAAGCTGCTGTTGCAGGGATAGCACCAAGTCCCCCCTGTGACCATGGCCTCCAACCAGGAGATGAACAAATGCAAAATAGGCAGGATCATGAACACCATTAGGAGTCTTCCAGCCTGAAAATGTGTTAACATGCAGTATTTATGGGCAGTTAAACATAGAAAATGCCCAGTCTCGGATTTCTAATGTTGCGTTTTCCACCTTCAACTCCACAGACCTTCCTGGGACACTGACGTTAAAGATAAGGACCAAGCACACCAGTCAGGGAGAAAGCATCCCGATCCCCTCTCCTTGCATCTGCTATCTAGGAGGAACAAGAGCTCCTCTCTACAAAGGGAGTTGCTCGGGTTGTGCAGTGGTGAGAGAAGGAAACCACTCACTGTGTGGGGTAGGTCCATGGACAGCTCTGCCCACAGGCTGCCCAGCATGACTTGGCCATGCTGTGCCAAGGAGCCTTGAAAGAAAAATGTCACAAGAGAAAATGGCAGGGAGCAACCTTGTTCCAGTGGAGCCTTCACAGTGCCTGTGCATGGCACTGCACTGCCAAGAAGCAAGGGCACAGGAAAACAGATGGGCCCTGCTTCCAGAGAGCTGTGGCAGAGGAAGCAGGCACACGAGGACCTCAGATTGTAGCTGCTTCACTGTTACAAGGGAGGAAAGCAAGTGGGAGGGGTGCTTGGGGATGTTTTTTGTATGTCTCCCCTCTTAAAGGTAGTGAGAGGGAACAGAACAGTTGAGCCTCACTGCAAGAATTTTTGGCAGATTGCACCCTTGTTTCCCCCTCTCTGTTGAATCCTGGGCCACAGAAGTCAACAAGAATTTTACTGCTGACTCCAGCCTAAGCTAGGATTTCTGCTGGTTTCCTAACTGACTTTTCATCAACTTCTTTTACAGAGCTGAGATTGCCAAGGATTCTGCCTTGGCCCTGTCCTGCCATGAGATTATATGAAAATGCTTGGATGCCAATCAGAAAAGCTGTCTGTTGCAGACACACTGTTTGCTTCCTCTGCCAGGAGGCTGAGCGAGGGTAGGTAGGAGGCATCTTTCAATTTTTAAGTTATGATTACAGCATCAGGTAACTGAAGCTCTATGCTTTATTAACACAACTAAAATTCTTTCACATTTGCTCCCTTCTGGTGTAGCTTGGTAGCAATTTAATATACTGCCTGAATTTTCTGAAAAGCTTTTAGGATCACAAAATATTTATTCTTTTAAGGGACAGTTTAAAAAGAATTAGCTCAGTACAACACATGCAGCTGCCAATCAATTCTACCTCCTTGTCAGTCACCCCACAACTGAATGAAACTTCTTGTAATGATTTTTCACATTCCAAGTCATGCTTACTAGATCCTTTCACATATTTTGAAATACATCTAGCACTGAGGCAAACGGGAGCACGAAAAAAATATTGCAGGGAGAAAAACAATTAAACACAAACTTCTCCGCTCAAAATATCTGGTGCCTGAGATTACAATTATCTGAGCTGCTATCAATGAACTCAAAAGCTTTCTTTTAAATGATGAGGTGTGCTCATAAAACCTTACCAGTAGGACAGGCGCTCCTGGAACACGCGCTTGCTCGTGCTGATGTGTATGCAAAGCCCTGGTCCCACATGCTCTGGAAGGAGACACCCCCCCTTCAAGGCAATGGCTGGAACACCTTACCTGTGGAGATGAGGAGGAGGAGGACACAATGGGCCTTCATCATCCTCTTGCCACAGTCAGACAGATGGAGGCACGCACAAAGCACCTCTGAGGTCTCTTCAGAGGGGGCTGTGCTGCCTCACCAGGGTACTGCCAAAATACACCCACCAGGGTATTGGCTTACAGCACCTGTTCTGGGAATGACAGAACAGCTGAGGGCCACTGCACCACCGGGCTGGAAACGGGAGAACAGTGTGCTTCACCCACCAAATATCTTCTTCAGTTTACAGAAGGTCATTTTTTTTCTAAGTATCAATGTGATCTATGATTTACTAAACAAATGCACACCCAAATAAACTAAGAAAGAATTATCTGTAAGTAACTGAACATCTTGGTGAGATCTCAGAAACTTTTTGTGAAGAGAGCAACTTGCCAGGTTTAAGGTTTTGTTTCTCTGAGAAAAAACAGAGTAGTCACTTATTTCTGATACACCCCCACCAGTGTACAGACAGCATGCTGGGAGGAGGCTGCTCCCTTGGCTTCACAGAGGAATGGGAAAGCTTTGAAGTAAACAAATATTCTCAAGAGAGATCCATCTCCTTGAGTCTACCAGGACTTCCTGGTGGGATCTCCACCTTGGAAGCTATTAACTAAGTAAGAGAAGACACCCCACTCTCCTGCTGCCACCTCTATACTTAGTGGACTGAGAAAGTCAAGTGGTAGAAACAGGACTGGTTTGTTTCTACAGCAGGGCAGATCCAGTGCATTTCTGTAGAGCATGAAAATGCTTGCTCTTTATTGCCATAAATCACCTGGAAAGGAGAGAAAAGTGATGTGTTTGGTAACAATACTCAGTCCTTTGGGCTAGCAAAGAAAACAAGAAACAGTGAAGGATTTAAAAAACATATATATACACACACACACCCCTATTTACCTCGTATATACATGATTATCTACTTTGAGCTCAACAGTATCACTCAGAAACACAACCTTGAGAGAGATAGTCCTGTGAAGTGTTCAGCAGCATAAAAAAAAAGCAAGTCCATCAGTTTCTAGGACAGGAGATGAAGCAAAAAGGAAAGATGCCACTATAAATCTGTGAATGTTCTTTGCAGTTCAGGTCATCTGGTTTCAAAAGACTTGGAAAAGGCCCAGGAGAAAGTGACAACAACATCCACAGTGCAAATTGGCTTCTGTACCTGGAACAGATAAAGAGTATGAACTGTCAGTCTGAGAGCAAGAGAGAGAGCTTTGGTAGGGTCTGTAAAATCCCAAATGGTCTGGAGAAGGCAGATTTGGATTCACTTGCTGTCCCCATGCAAAAAAGTAGAGGGCATTGAGGTAAAATTAGAGTTGTCCAGCTTAACCAAGACAGTTCTTCACAGAGTGTGTCTGCAGTGGAGTTGGGTGCCACAGGAGTGTCTGTTTGCAGAGGTCTATCTCTGTTCAGAAAAAATAGTCTGCTAAATAATTTTATATTATTGAATGTACACACACACACATTCCCTCTAAGAAGTCTGTCACTGAAGACCCAGTCACAAGCCTCAGGACTCTGGGTGGTGTCCTGAGGATAGCTTGCCTAATGCTAATGGTGTTCTTGCATTTTTCTCAGGCCATGTGGAGACAGGACATGCCACTGGGTGCCCTGCCACAACCATTCTTACACAGAGTTCCAAATTCCCTTTTCCAGAAAACATTCCCCACAAAACCCTTCCTTAGCTTTGCCTCTGGGTGACACCAGAGGTATTTTCTATTTCTGCTGGATATCCTTTGTGCTGTCTGCCAGCTGGCTTGGTGTTTCATGCTGGATGCCTTTATTATTATTTTAATTATTTTTTAATCACTTTCCCTCACCCAGCCCCCTCCACTAAGCATTCAGCCTCTGCATTTACATTTATCCTCCAGTAAAATCTCTCCATCTACATAACTCTGGCCTCCTTCCTGGCCGGCAGCTCCCATTGTTGCAGAGATCTTATTTCAAACCCGCGTCTGCCTGCTCCCAGCCTTTATCCCAGGCAGGCAGCTGCCGTGGAGATACAATTGCATGGAGGCATTGTGGGAATGCTGACCAGGGCCCTCCGGATCCTCTCAGGGTCCCAGAGCATTCCTGCCCACCCCAGGCAGGGCTGCCAGGTTGGCTCCGGGATGGATGGAGGAGCGTGTTGCCACACTCTGGCACATGACAGCTCTGGGCTGACAGAGGTGTCTGTCCCTCCTCAAGGTCTGTCCCTTGGAGCCAGCAGGGTGCAGAGTGTGGGGCCCCAGCAAGTCTGCAGCCCCAGCAAGGGGTTATTGCTCTGCAGCAGAGCCGAGTGCCCAGCCTGGGAGCCAGCCTCCCCCGCTGGCTGGAAGTCAGCGCTCCTCTTGGAAGAGGAAGGAGCAGGTATTTGGAGAAGGCCTGTGGGGAGCAGCAGCCTGGCTGTGAGAAACGTTCCCTGGCAGAGGCACAAAGCCTTTTACCTCGCAAAAAACGCAAGGCAACCTGAGCTACTGCAGTTAAATATGGACAGAGAAGTGAATGCCGCTTGTTGTTCAGCTAGGGAATGTGACCCACCGTGACCGAGGTGAGAAAGCAGGGGAAGGGGCTGAGCTACACTGAATGCCTGAATTTGATCAATTGCTAGGATGGGTATTTTTCTTTTTTCCTTCAGAGTATTCAGCGAATTTTTGGACAAACATTTCATTCCCACACAAAAACCCCTTTTTACGTGTCTTGACTCCAACCTTTTCAGCTTGTTTTTATGAGCCACATCCTTCACACAAACCCACTACCCCCTAGCAATGGCACACCAGCCTGATTCAGATCGATTGGAAAGCAGCAAACTCACTGCTTGCTGAATGTAGGGCACTGCTCCTTCCATCCATGCACAGGAATGAGCCTGCAGGAAGTCAGCCATGAAGCAATACTCCTGCAGGAAAGTCCCTTTGGCAGAGTGGTACTGTGCAGACACGGGCAAGGTGAGCACAATACCTGCTGCTTTTGGCAGAGTCAGGAATGCAAGATGTTAAGTGAAATTTTTGTCACAGAATTGAGTACAGAGAGGCAATGCCCAATGGAAGAGAGCTGGTGCCAGAGGCTCCAGCAGACACACAGACAACAGGGCCTGTGGGAGGGTGGAGGTGCTGAGAAGCAGAAGCAAAACTAATAAAAAGAACAGGTTAGATAGAGAGTACATCAGGGAAATTAAAGGAACGAAAGCTTGAAAATAAGAGCACTGTCCAGCAGTTTTAACTTCTGTTTTCAAATGCAATATATACTTTTTAAATGCATTTTTGTATCAGGAAAATGGCATTGTTGATGACAGCAGATTACGGCAGCGCTGAATAAGGCAGATAGTAGACAAGTATCCGTGAGCTGCCGTGCGTTTGTTCCCAGATTGCCCGGTCCCGGTCATGGCACACGCTCCCCGCTGGAAGCCCGGCCGCTCGGCTCCGTGGCCGCCAGATGGCAACAGCTGGATGAGGGGATGCGCCGGGACGCGGGAGCGCAACGCAAACTGTCCCTGCCAAGGGAAAACGGGGAGCAAATATTTGCCAGAAGAAATTCACAAAAAATTAATGACAATCTTGACTGTACTTACCCGGTTTATTCCAGTGCACATAAGAACATGCTGAGCATTAGTTTAGCAATACGTTCTGACATGTATAGTAAAGATTAAATTCCTCAAATCAAGAAATCCAAAGTGGCAGTTTTCCATACTCAGACACATCTCCACCAACCCACAAATATGTTTTATCCCCACGGGTGTTTGTAGCAAATTTGGTTTCAGCACATATTTTCTGTTTTCTGTCACACCACCCAAAGGAATTGAAAGTACCAAAAACTTGCTCAAAAGTGATGTTAACCTCTGAAATTACAGAGCTTTCATATTATGGCAGAGACAGGGCGCAGTTACCTAATCTAAAGGATGTTTCTGGAGAGAAAGAGAAGAACAAGGAAAAGGTCCCCAGTCAAACAGGGAAACCAGAGTCCCAAAAGACATCATTAGATCAGTAGCACAAGTGTAAATCTAATGCAGGTGAGAAGAGACACTGCTTGCCTTTAAACTGGCACTGGCCCTCATGGTCACACTTCTCAGACAAAGGACACTGTCAACAGAGGCTTATCTCCCCACTTTGGGCAAGGCTGTGCCCAAAGCAGCAAGAATGAAGACAGGAATAATTGAAAACAGAATCAGGAGAGGTGACAGGCACAAGCTGAGCAACCACAAAATGTCCAAGGAATCAGTGAGCAGGCTGCAGTGTCACACTGCCTTTTTGTTATGGGCACACCAGTAACCAGCCCTGGAGCTGCACAAAGTTACTGAATGGAGCAGTGGCAAATTTAACTCCAGCTGACATCCCTGACATGGTATCTTCTCAGGCTCCCATCCAAATACAAGGCCTATTTCTGGGGCCAAGGTGAGGCATGCTGGAGAGCCAAACAAGAAACAAAAGAGGACAAGTCCATTGGCTGTGGGGTTTGCTCTGCCCTGCTCCTGTGGGCTGCTCTGTCAGCACAGCAGCTTGTGTGAGCCATGCCAGAGCAGTGGGGACAGCAGAGGAGCAGCTTTGCTGGTCCATGCCCTCAGGAAGACTTTCCTGCACAGCAGGACTCCTGAGCTACTCTGCTTCTGTGGCCAGGAAAATTTAATTAATTTTCAGATGCAACTCAGTGACAACTGAATTTATTTATTCAGTGCAAGCTGAAAAATGCCCTCATCTGGCACAAACCACTACTGCTACCTGTTCTGAACTTTGTCATCACCAGCCATGAGTTTTCTCTCTGCAGCCACAAAAAAACTCCACAAAATACAAAAGTCAGATAGTAAAACTGGGCAGAAAGGTGGCCTGGATGTCAAAGCTGGGAACCAGTTCCACTGCCAGTTCTGCTGCATCCTGAGACAGCAGGATGTGGAGACATCTAAAGCAAAGTTTAAATGAGTGTTAGGCACCCAAGTGCTCTCCTAGGAGTGTCTGCCTCTGGAGGTGACATTATTCTATTTTAAGTGCATATTCAGATGCTGTTTGTAAGTATATAACTGAGTTACTACCAGTGCAGAAAGTGGAGCTCAGCATTACCTG